TTGAGACGTCTCAAATCAGCGAGCAGCATTTTTTGAGACGTCTCAAATCAGCGAGCAGCATTTTTTGAGACGTCTCAAATCAGCGAGCAGCATTTTTTGAGACGTCTCAAATCAGCGAGCAGCATTTTTTGAGACGTCTCAAATCAGCGAGCAGCATTTTTTGAGACGTCTCAAATCAGCGAGCAGCATTTTTTTAGACGTCTCAAATCAGCGAGCAGCATTTTTTGAGACGTCTCAAATCAGCGAGCAGCATTTTTTGAGACGTCTCAAATCAGCGAGCAGCATTTTTTGAGACGTCTCAAATCAGCGAGCAGCATTTTTTGAGACGTCTCAAATCAGCGAGCAGCATTTTTTGAGACGTCTCAAATCAGCGGGCAGCATTTTTTGAGACGTCTCAAATCAGCGAGCAGCATTTTTTGAGACGTCTCAAATCAGCGAGCAGCATTTTTTGAGACGTCTCAAATCAGCGAGCAGCATTTTTTGAGACGTCTCAAATCAGCGAGCAGCATTTTTTTAGACGTCTCAAATCAGCGAGCAGCATTTTTTGAGACGTCTCAAATCAGCGAGCAGCATTTTTTGAGACGTCTCAAATCAGCGAGCAGCATTTTTTGAGACGTCTCAAATCAGCGAGCAGCATTTTTTGAGACGTCTCAAATCAGCGAGCAGCATTTTTTGAGACGTCTCAAATCAGCGAGCAGCATTTTTTGAGACGTCTCAAATCAGCGAGCAGCATTTTTTGAGACGTCTCAAATCAGCGAGCAGCATTTTTTGAGACGTCTCAAATCAGCGAGCAGCATTTTTTGAGACGTCTCAAATCAGCGAGCAGCATTTTTTGAGATGTCTCAAATCAGCGAGCAGCATTTTTTGAGACGTCTCAAATCAGCGAGCAGCATTTTTTGAGACGTCTCAAATCAGCGAGCAGCATTTTTTGAGACGTCTCAAATCAGCGAGCAGCATTTTTTGAGACGTCTCAAATCAGCGAGCAGCATTTTTTGAGACGTCTCAAATCAGCGAGCAGCATTTTTTGAGACGTCTCAAATCAGCGAGCAGCATTTTTTGAGACGTCTCAAATCAGCGAGCAGCATTTTTTGAGACGTCTCAAATCAGCGAGCAGCATTTTTTGAGACGTCTCAAATCAGCGAGCAGCATTTTTTGAGACGTCTCAAATCAGCGAGCAGCATTTTTTGAGACGTCTCAAATCAGCGAGCAGCATTTTTTGAGACGTCTCAAATCAGCGAGCAGCATTTTTTGAGACGTCTCAAATCAGCGAGCAGCATTTTTTGAGACGTCTCAAATCAGCGAGCAGCATTTTTTGAGACGTCTCAAATCAGCGAGCAGCATTTTTTTAGACGTCTCAAATCAGCGAGCAGCATTTTTTGAGACGTCTCAAATCAGCGAGCAGCATTTTTTGAGACGTCTCAAATCAGCGAGCAGCATTTTTTGAGACGTCTCAAATCAGCGAGCGGCATTTTTTGAGACGTCTCAAATCAGCGAGCAGCATTTTTTGAGACGTCTCAAATCAGCGAGCAGCATTTTTTGAGACGTCTCAAATCAGCGAGCAGCATTTTTTGAGACGTCTCAAATCAGCGAGCAGCATTTTTTGAGACGTCTCAAATCAGCGAGCAGCATTTTTTTAGACGTCTCAAATCAGCGAGCAGCATTTTTTGAGACGTCTCAAATCAGCGAGCAGCATTTTTTGAGACGTCTCAAATCAGCGAGCAGCATTTTTTGAGACGTCTCAAATCAGCGAGCAGCATTTTTTGAGACGTCTCAAATCAGCGAGCAGCATTTTTTGAGACGTCTCAAATCAGCGAGCAGCATTTTTTGAGACGTCTCAAATCAGCGAGCAGCATTTTTTGAGACGTCTCAAATCAGCGAGCAGCATTTTTTGAGACGTCTCAAATCAGCGAGCAGCATTTTTTGAGACGTCTCAAATCAGCGAGCAGCATTTTTTGAGACGTCTCAAATCAGCGAGCAGCATTTTTTGAGACGTCTCAAATCAGCGAGCAGCATTTTTTGAGACGTCTCAAATCAGCGAGCAGCATTTTTTGAGACGTCTCAAATCAGCGAGCAGCATTTTTTGAGACGTCTCAAATCAGCGAGCAGCATTTTTTGAGACGTCTCAAATCAGCGAGCAGCATTTTTTGAGACGTCTCAAATCAGCGAGCAGCATTTTTTGAGACGTCTCAAATCAGCGAGCAGCATTTTTTGAGACGTCTCAAATCAGCGAGCAGCATTTTTTGAGACGTCTCAAATCAGCGAGCAGCATTTTTTGAGACGTCTCAAATCAGCGAGCAGCATTTTTTGAGACGTCTCAAATCAGCGAGCAGCATTTTTTGAGACGTCTCAAATCAGCGAGCAGCATTTTTTGAGACGTCTCAAATCAGCGACCAGCATTTTTTGAGACGTCTCAAATCAGCGAGCAGCATTTTTTGAGACGTCTCAAATCAGCGAGCAGCATTTTTTGAGACGTCTCAAATCAGCGAGCAGCATTTTTTGAGACGTCTCAAATCAGCGAGCAGCATTTTTTGAGACGTCTCAAATCAGCGAGCAGCATTTTTTGAGACGTCTCAAATCAGCGAGCAGCATTTTTTGAGACGTCTCAAATCAGCGAGCAGCATTTTTTGAGACGTCTCAAATCAGCGAGCAGCATTTTTTGAGACGTCTCAAATCAGCGAGCAGCATTTTTTGAGACGTCTCAAATCAGCGAGCAGCATTTTTTGAGACGTCTCAAATCAGCGACCAGCATTTTTTGAGACGTCTCAAATCAGCGAGCAACATTTTTTGAGACGTCTCAAATCAGCGAGCAGCATTTTTTGAGACGTCTCAAATCAGCGAGCAGCATTTTTTGAGACGTCTCAAATCAGCGAGCAGCATTTTTTGAGACGTCTCAAATCAGCGAGCAGCATTTTTTGAGACGTCTCAAATCAGCGAGCAGCATTTTTTGAGACGTCTCAAATCAGCGAGCAGCATTTTTTGAGACGTCTCAAATCAGCGAGCAGCATTTTTTGAGACGTCTCAAATCAGCGAGCAGCATTTTTTGAGACGTCTCAAATCAGCGAGCAGCATTTTTTGAGACGTCTCAAATCAGCGAGCAGCATTTTTTGAGACGTCTCAAATCAGCGAGCAGCATTTTTTGAGACGTCTCAAATCAGCGAGCAGCATTTTTTGAGACGTCTCAAATCAGCGAGCAGCATTTTTTGAGACGTCTCAAATCAGCGAGCAGCATTTTTTGAGACGTCTCAAATCAGCGAGCAGCATTTTTTGAGACGTCTCAAATCAGCGAGCAGCATTTTTTGAGACGTCTCAAATCAGCGAGCAGCATTTTTTGAGACGTCTCAAATCAGCGAGCAGCATTTTTTGAGACGTCTCAAATCAGCGAGCAGCATTTTTTGAGACGTCTCAAATCAGCGAGCAGCATTTTTTGAGACGTCTCAAATCAGCGAGCAGCATTTTTTGAGACGTCTCAAATCAGCGAGCAGCATTTTTTGAGACGTCTCAAATCAGCGAGCAGCATTTTTTGAGACGTCTCAAATCAGCGAGCAGCATTTTTTGAGACGTCTCAAATCAGCGAGCAGCATTTTTTTAGACGTCTCAAATCAGCGAGCAGCATTTTTTGAGACGTCTCAAATCAGCGAGCAGCATTTTTTGAGACGTCTCAAATCAGCGAGCAGCATTTTTTGAGACGTCTCAAATCAGCGAGCAGCATTTTTTGAGACGTCTCAAATCAGCGAGCAGCATTTTTTGAGACGTCTCAAATCAGCGAGCAGCATTTTTTGAGACGTCTCAAATCAGCGAGCAGCATTTTTTGAGACGTCTCAAATCAGCGAGCAGCATTTTTTGAGACGTCTCAAATCAGCGAGCAGCATTTTTTGAGACGTCTCAAATCAGCGAGGAGCATTTTTTGAGACGTCGCAAATCAGCGAGCAGCATTTTTTTAGACGTCTCAAATCAGCGAGCAGCATTTTTTGAGACGTCTCAAATCAGCGAGCAGCATTTTTTGAGACGTCTCAAATCAGCGAGCAGCATTTTTTGAGACGTCTCAAATCAGCGAGCAGCATTTTTTGAGACGTCTCAAATCAGCGAGCAGCATTTTTTGAGACGTCTCAAATCAGCGAGCAGCATTTTTTGAGACGTCTCAAATCAGCGAGCAGCATTTTTTGAGACGTCTCAAATCAGCGAGCAGCATTTTTTGAGACGTCTCAAATCAGCGAGCAGCATTTTTTGAGACGTCTCAAATCAGCGAGCAGCATTTTTTGAGACGTCTCAAATCAGCGAGCAGCATTTTTTGAGACGTCTCAAATCAGCGAGCAGCATTTTTTGAGATGTCTCAAATCAGCGAGCAGCATTTTTTGAGACGTCTCAAATCAGCGAGCAGCATTTTTTTAGACGTCTCAAATCAGCGAGCAGCATTTTTTGAGACGTCTCAAATCAGCGAGCAGCATTTTTTGAGACGTCTCAAATCAGCGAGCAGCATTTTTTTAGACGTCTCAAATCAGCGAGCAGCATTTTTTGAGACGTCTCAAATCAGCGAGCAGCATTTTTTGAGACGTCTCAAATCAGCGAGCAGCATTTTTTGAGACGTCTCAAATCAGCGAGCAGCATTTTTTGAGACGTCTCAAATCAGCGAGCAGCATTTTTTGAGACGTCTCAAATCAGCGAGCAGCATTTTTTGAGACGTCTCAAATCAGCGAGCAGCATTTTTTGAGACGTCTCAAATCAGCGAGCAGCATTTTTTGAGACGTCTCAAATCAGCGAGCAGCATTTTTTGAGACGTCTCAAATCAGCGAGCAGCATTTTTTGAGACGTCTCAAATCAGCGAGCAGCATTTTTTGAGACGTCTCAAATCAGCGAGCAGCATTTTTTGAGACGTCTCAAATCAGCGAGCAGCATTTTTTGAGACGTCTCAAATCAGCGAGCAGCATTTTTTGAGACGTCTCAAATCAGCGAGCAGCATTTTTTGAGACGTCTCAAATCAGCGAGCAGCAAACTGCCACCACATGGACGTTCCACATGGTACGTCTGCCCATTCTTCTCACCAAAGCACTCCCTCGCCCATCCCTCTGATTCTCCCCCTCCTCTTTCCTCCCCCCAGCCGCCCCCCCCCCACATCTCTCGATCCCTGGTACAGCCTGCTCCTGAGCTATCAAGCTAGCTCACAAACCCTCTTTATTTTCCCGACTTCCCCGTTTCTTCTTTCCCCCCCTCCCCTTTCTTCCCAACAGATGCCCCCGCCAGCTCTCTAGATCCCTGGCACAGCCTGCTCCTGGAGCGCCTGTGCCTTCGTGGAAGCTTCTTCAAGCCGCTTTTTGCTGGGCTGAGCAGGGAATGTGGAGCAGGGGGGAAGGAGGAAGAAAGGGAGGAGGAGGGAGAGAAGGGAGGGGCAGCTTCTTTGTCTCTAAAGCAGCTTGATGAGGGGCGGTTCAGGTGGGAGCAAGCAGGGCTGCTGTGGGGGGTGTGGGGGGCCCTGGCAGCAGTAGCAGAAGCACAGGGCGTTTCAGCTGGGGTTGGGGGAGGGGCGAAGGGGGAGAGCGAGGAGAGTGAGGAGGCAGATGGCAAAGTGGCGAAGGAGGGGAAAGGAGCGGAGCAAAAAAAGAGGGAGCAAGGAGAATCTTTTCCGCTAGTGGGCCCGGGCAGTTTGAATTTTCTCCTGACCGTTTGCAGAGATTCCGCACGAGCTGTGGCACGGGTTCAGGCCCAGGGTCTGCTGCTGGCTCCTGGCTATCAGGTGGGGCATGCTAGTCAGATGCCTAGTAACGAGGTACCTCATAACAAAGCTATATCAGCACGCCACATCCTCCGATTCTCCCTGCACTGCCTTCGCATCCTCGCAGCCCTGGACCCCGTACCAGCTGCCGAACCTGTCACATCAGGCTCGGCAGTCTCAGTCTCGGCAAGCAAGGACCTGCTAGCGGCGGTTGGAGGTTCGGAGCTGATTCCCCTCCTGCTTGACCTGCTGCATGGACTGGGCCCCCCTGCTATCGCATCAGCAGCAGCCACAGCAACAAGAGAAACAACAGCAACAGGAACAGCAGCAGCATCAAAGGCCCCCCACAAAGCACCAAGTTCAATCAGAGATCAAGAGATAGGAGCAGCAGCAGCTACATTTCCACCAGTCCCAACCGCTCTGTACCCATCATGTAACCCGTACCCTGGTTACCGCAGGGATGTGGTGGCAGTGATTGCAAATGCGGGTCATGAGCGCAAGGCATACCAGGATGCTGTGAGGTGCTATACGGCTCCTAGCGTTCCGGTATCTGCTGCTGCTGGTGGTGCTATTGCTGCTGCTCCTCGTGGTGCTGTTGGTGGTGCTGCTGCTGCTGCTGCTGCTGATAACAGTGCCACTGCCACCGATGCCACCAAAGACAGCAGCAGCAACCCCCACCCCACTGGCAACCCCACCCCCGCCATCACCCCCAGCAGCAGCATCATGAGCAGCGGTCTATTCCTAGTCCTGCAGCAGTGTGTGGCAGGCGACAGCACACAGGGCGATGATCTCCTCAGGGAGTGGGGGCTGTGGGCCGTGCGGAACCTTCTAGAAGGCAACCCCAAGAACGCTGCTGACGTGGCGGCTCTGGAGGTGAGAGGCGGGGCGCAGACGGAGGGGTTGAGAGAGATGGGGCTGGCTGTTGAGGTGGATGAGAGGAGTGGGCGGCCGAAGCTGAGGAATATAGGGGCAGATGAGCGGTGAAGGAAGGAGGAATATGAAGTCAGAAGCGCCTCACCCGTGGTAGTAGCACTGGAGGCGGGGCGCAGATGGAGGGGTTGAGAGAGATGGGGCTGGCTGTTGAGGTGGATGAGAGGAGTGGGCGGCCGAAGCTGAGGAATATAGGAGCAGATGAGCGGTGAAGGAAGGAGGAATATAGGAGCAGATGAGTGGTGAAGGGAGGCGGAATGTGAAGTTAGAAGCGCCTCATATGCGGTGATAGCACTGGAGGTGAGAAGGGAAGAGGGACCGACGGAGGGGTTGAGAGCGACGGGGTTGGCTTGGCTGTGGAGGTGGATGGGAGGAGTGGGCGACCGAAGCTGAGGAATGCCGGAGCGGATGGGAGGCGAGGGAAGGAGGAACGTGGATGTTGAAGCCCTTATTAGGTACCTACCTACATACCGGTAGTAGCAACACTGAAGGTGGATGGGGAGGAATGGGTGGCTGACCATTCAATGGAAAAAAATAGGAAGTACAAACTAACACTTTCTCGCCTGGAAATTGCCCGTGTAGCCCCTTGAATTACTACGAGGCATCATGTAGTCTAATTTATCACACTGTAAGTGGCAGTAAAACGTGATGCAGTTAGGAACCAATAAGTGCTTGATCCAAAGGCCTCTGATCAGATTAGTCTCTTGTCAGGCTAGCTCCAAATCCGAACACATTGATCTCGGTCCTGGTGGTATGGAAACTCTATATCGAGCTGCATCAGATCTTCCCCAAATGAATGTGCCTGTAATGATTATAAATGAACGAGTTTGCACCCAGGATACATAAATGGCAAGCAATAAGAGAAACAGGAAAAGAATACACGCCATGCTATCATAAGCACGCTTTATTCACAGCGCTAACACCAAAATGCGGGCAGCATGCCCCTGACCCAGCAGCAGCACCACCCATACCGATATATTCTGCATTACGGCCAGGCTAATAATCCCGTGCCGGCTCCACACCAGACTTGTGTCTGTTGCTAGCTGTTCAGATTCGTGTGCAGCTGCCTGGCCCCCACCCACAGCATCCGGAAGAATCCAACACCTTCCATGCACCATGCAACGTACACCATGCATGAGGGACCAGAAGCACCACTAGCACTGGCAGCACCACCAGCACTGCCAGCACCTCCCTTGCAAATCGCCTCCGCATGAAGCCCTTCTGTACGCCCTTCCACACCAACAGCAAGCCCTAGCGCCGCTAAGTCAAACCCGAAACCCTTAACCCTTAAACAAGGACAGCCCAATACACTGAGCTCACTCCTGAAAAGAAAACCCCTTCAAACTATGCACACCCCAGCACACACAATTCCAAGCCTGCATGAGGGATCAGCACACAGCAGCACTCCTCCCTGAAGCCATATCCACAAGCCATTGTGCCGCCACATAAATGCTGCTGTCCGCCTTCCCCTCACCCCCATCCATCCCCACGCTCGCCATGCTTTCCATGCTTCCCATCCACCCTCCCCCCATGGTACCATCCACGTCAGCATGCGAGAACGGCTCCTTTGACCCTGGGCGAACTGGTGACGTGGAGGGCGACGTTGCAGGGCTTGATTGGACCATGGGTGGAAGGCGTGGTAGCGAGAACGGGGTGTAGCCGCCACAGCCAGATACGTCGACAGATAGAGCCCAAGAGAACGGCAGCACTGGCTTTTTCTCTGGGGTTTTGGTGCTGCTGCTATTGTTGTTCCTTCCTGCTGCTTCCGCTGCCGCTGCTGCTGCTGCCACTACTGCCACTCCTGCTCCTGCTTCTGCTGCTTCTGCTGCGGCTGCTGCCCATGCTCCCTCACTCCCACTAATACCGCCGGTCCCTGCTACACTAACCGGGATGCTGCTGCTGCTGCTGTTGCACCGGGAAAGCACGCTTATCTCGGGACGGCTGGATCCGGAGAGAGATACAGGCACCTCTACAGCAGTGCTGCCGCAGTTCACCGCCTCGATATCTCTCACTGCTACAGCGGTGCTGCTCCCAGGAGTGTAACGAGGCGGCTCAAAACGAGTACAGCTGGAAAGAGCCACGGTCACTTCTACAGTCGCGCTGCTGCTGGAGCCTTGGAGGACTGGCAAGGAGAGAGCATGGGGGAAGGGAGAAACAGGTAGGAGCCGTGAGGGGGTGAGAAACGCGTAGGAAAACGGCAGTGAATGCTAAAAGCTGTACGCTTCGACTTGTAGCTATTCATTCGCGAAAAAAAAAACACCAAGTTCGACCTTGAAACATTTTTTTCCCACCCTCCATCCTAAACCCTTGAATTATAGCACATCATCCCCTCTTGACCCTTTTAAGTTTCAAAGCGCATCGTCCAAAACCCTTGCTTCTCTCCGGCAATTTCCTCCATACAAAACTTACGCCAAAGCCCGAAAACCGTCGTCGAATCCCTCCATAACGAATCATTCCCGAACCCTTGCCCAAAACCCTGTCACTCACCAGCGGCAGGCGTGCTTTCCGCGACTCGCGGCCGCGCAGGGAACGAGGGCTCCGCTCTGATCTTCCAGCAATACGCGGGATCGAACTCCACTCGCACCGTCGTCACCGCGCCCCTGCTCCTGCTGGCCCCACTGCTCCGGCTGCCACCGCTGCTGCGACTGCCGGCGCTACTCCGGTTAGCGCCGCTGCTTCGGATCCTGCCGCCGCCGTTGCTGCCGCTCCCGTCTCTGCCTCGCGCTCTGGCTCTCCGCCTAGAGGCCGTGGGCGCATCGGGAGTAGCGGGCGAATCGGCGGTAATGCGCGTATCGGCAGCAGTGGTCGGAGCAGCAGCGCCAGTCGCCACCCTGCTTCGCGAGAGGAGGTCCTCGGAACAGAGCAACGGGCCTGCACGACAAACAAAAGCAATGACTCTTAGCCAGTTGCAACACTGAAAACCCCATGGATCTGGAAAACCCCCGTGGAAGCATCTCCAAACCCCTGCGATGTACTCACAAACCCCGAGAATGTTAATTCTTTTTCTTACCTGAATCGCCGTCGCAGCGCTCGTGCGTGTCGCGTTCGTAATCCATAGCCGCCGACGCTGATGGCTCCGCCTTCACCTGCATCGGAAGCTCCGCCCATGCCTCACTCCGAACCTCTGCCCCACGCAAAATTTCCGTTCCGGTCCGAACTGCCTCGTGAGATATGGTCCAACCCATCCGTTCCGAACCTGCAAAAGGAGAGTTCAAGAGAGTAAGCGTTGGAAAGAGGAAACCCTCAGAGTGCGCATTGGCGACTCACATTAGAACAGACGCATGTACGACAGTACATGCGTATAATTTTATCTCGCCCTAACACGCGCTCGCGAACACGGCGACGCGGATGCAGAAATTTCGAGACTCACCATTGCTGGGAGAGGGCTTGATCGGAGAACCGTTGATCGGGGAGACGTTGCTCCACGCGTGCGGCCGAGATCGCATCCGCCGCTTCTTCCGCACAGTGAACACCAACATGCCGGGACACTCGCCATCGCCATCGCCATCACCGCTGCCGTTGCAGTCCCCGTCGCCGGACCTTTTCACGCCGCCGCTGCTCCAGTTAACCTCGTCGCTGCCCGAATCGGAGCCGGTTATACCGAGTACACTCCCGGAGTTGGACGAGGCCGCACCGTGGTACCTCCTAGAAGGGCGATCCCACTCGCAAGCCGCGGGATCTGGGTGAGATCCGCTCTTGTACGCGTTAGTGCATTCCCTTGTATCGCAGCACGCGCATGAGGAATCCTCGGACCGCGAGATCCTTCCAGATCCCTGAGAACACGGCGACGCCCACGGCTCGCTACTGCTACTTACACGCCTACGGCTCTCGGCCTCCACTAGCAACTCCGGAAGAGCAACGTCAGCAGCGGTGATCCTATCGGATCTGATTCTGTCGGATCTGATTCTATCAGGTGAGGGAGCGGTAGTATCGCTGTCGTAGCTCATGGATTGCTCCGCCGCCTCCTCCTCCCCTTCGCCACCCTCTGCCTGCCACACGGATTCGTAGAGCGGATGCGGATCTATGGCGGGGACCACGGCTAGCATTGATTCGAGGGAGGAGGATTCGATCTCGGCTTTCGTGTCCTCGTCAATCGAGCTGTTCGTGACGGCTCTCGCTCCGTGAAGCTTGTATGACAGCCTGAGTGAAAGAAGCGGAAAGGAGGAGAAGAGAAGAGTGGAAGGGACGTGTTGAACATTGAACAGTCGGAAACAACAATGTGAACGTTGACGCTAATCTGGTAACTACGACAATGCAGATTCAACCACTCATCCAATCAGAGACGACAGTCATCGCCAGTCAAGAAAACCCAGCAAAGGTGCGAAGGAAAGGCCTTCAACAGAATGTTAGAATCATAAGTGGCTAATGAGACTCAGATGAGACACAACGCGCAGTAGTGCGAGGAGCCGTCACGCACCTATCGTACACTCGTGCCGCCTCTTGCTGGTTCGCGAACATGCCGAAGCGGCAGCGAGTACCGCGAATCTGAATGCGAGCAAGCCAGCCATCCTTGTAAACCTCCACACCTCGCATCTTAACCGGATTCCGCAACATCATGGAACTCATCTTCCCGTTGATTGCCGAGATACTTAAATCCTAAGAGTGGATTGTAAAACTCGAAGGAGTTAGCGTGGATAGGAGAGAAGCTAGAGACATTACACAGCTACTGAGGCTCCTGGAACAAGGAATTGCTTTTCGCCTGACACAAGGGAAACTGGAGAAAGCTGTGAGACAGAAGTGAGGAACGTGGAATTGGTTTGGAGGAATGAGGAAATGAGGAATCGGAGGTGAAGAAATTGCTTTCTGCAAAAAGCAAGGCGGGAAAATCTGGGAACAGAAGCGAGCGAACAGGCGCGGCACTGACGATTGGCGAGGGTTTGCTCTCTCGCCAGCTTCTAGAGAGGACGGAATCCGATTGGGAGCAAAGCCCAAAACCACCCCAGAATCACTAAACCCACGTGCAGATCGACGGCTGAGAATCACGATGTGCAAAACACGTGGCAGGCAAATGGGTTGGTGCGGCTTCTTGAAGCCACAAAGGGGGTCCTTGGAGTTGCCACAAGCCATAGATTTTCTCCCCGTGAGAGGCTGATGGCAGGCAAGGCGGTGTGGTGGGCACGACGCTGGCGGCTGCGTTGGCGGTGCAGCGATTTTATTGGTGAGCGACGCCAGAACCTTGGAGCAGCATGGCAGGGCAACTTTGGTGGCACTTGAAATAATTTCGGACGGTCAGGTGGAAATCTTCCTCCTTGGCGTTGATTGTCCGTGCTGGCGATTCGAAATGAATGCACTGTGCAACTGGGCCTACCGCTTGGCAGAAAATCAAAGTTTTTTTGGCTGTATCGGCATCAGCGCACCTCAAAGCCACAAGGACCAATGCTGTCGGGAAGGGTGAGGTGCACAAGCCACGAAATCTGTTAGCTGTAAAATGACTTTCCCTTCCAAAGTATGCTTATAAACTGAACAAAATCGCAGATTCCAAGTGTGGAAGGGCGCATCAAGAGGCCGTTCTCTCTCTTTGAATCTCCGATTTTTAACTACCCGCCACCCTTTCTTTCGATTTGGGAATGAGGAGAGATTCCAAACAGAAATAACATTTGAGTGACTTGATTGGATTTTTCCGCCGCACCTCCGTAGATCCTGATAATGTACCCTCGCGTCCTTATCGCAGCGATCACACCAATCACGAAGGCTCTCGTTGGTTTGGGCCTGGGCCAGACGCGTTCCGAAAAATACTTCGCAACCATAAACTTCGTTCACGCAACTGCATCACTGCAAATCCGATAGTACAGTACCAAGGCTGGAATATACACGTCGGTCAAATGAGTGAAACCCCCACGCATTTTTTTCATACGCTATGCATTTCTTTGCATATTGTTTTCTTCACTGTATGTCCCGGAACACATATTGACAAACAAGCAGTTGAATGAAAAGTTTCGAGGATTCGAACTCGACAAGTATTGCCAGCCAGATGGTTTTGCTGCATCGCGGGTACTGTACGTACAGCAAAACAAATGTCTGAACTCCAGCAGTACCTGGGAAAAGGCCCTGACCCTGACAGATCGTGGTGTCAGAAAAGAAGTTGGTCGCCACCAACAATTTTCATTACAATAACATACTCAAAACTCTAGCACAGTACAATAGAAACTGGGCCTTCAAGCCTGAGGCATTCGCGTCTAAAGCGCGTACGCGAGTCAATTTCCGTATTACGCGAGCACGATCCCGAGGTGTGCTGATCCTAGGTCAAATAAACTCAGCCATTCCGACGGATTCACGTTGAAGCGTAAAATGGACACTAAAACAACTATCAAACCCGAGCCTTCGTTTGCCGCGGCACCAGCTAATCGCGGTATGGCCACTAGAACCATCGGAAAAGGCGGTCCTGGCGAGGAAGCGGAGGGGGATGCGGGAGGCAATTCTGACGAAGAGGGAGAGGACGGATCGCTGGATATGGAGCCGATGGATCTCGAGGAATGCTTGCGCAATCTGCCGGTAGTTGCGGCGGAGGAGGTGGTTCAACGCCGGCTAAACCGCCTCAGAAAGTCAGTTCCTTACTTTTCGCGTAAACCTAATTACTCAATTACTCTCTACTCACAAGGCACACGTCATCATTGCTGATGAATGCGGGCGTCGTCACGTGAGTCACGTGCTTTGAACTCAAGAAGACTCCCATGTAGTATCAAACCCTAATTTTGGTTCTAAAGCTGAATGCGCTTTAAACTGTATGCAGCGGCCTTGGGGGTCGACATGTACTGTGGTGAATTGAACATGAATTCCTTCTTTCTCTTATCCGTCCGGTTTCGTTATACGCCGCTCCGCTACAGGCTCATGGCGGTGTACCGCGGGCAGTACTGGGCGCTGCTGGAGGAGCTGCGCGCCAAGTACCGCCGATTCTGCATGCGCACGGGGGAGAGCGGATGGAAAGAGCCCGCGCATCCTTCCGCCACTGGCGGAACAGGCGGAGCGGGAGAAGGCAGCGACTTCCCCTTTCCGCCTGCTTCGCGCCCCCACGCGCTTCTTCCGCCTCCGCCGGCCCCCCTTGCCCCCCCTTTCCCGAGAGATACGAGTCTCAGGGCAGCAGCTGGGGGAAGCGGGGTAGAGGGTAGCGGAGCAGGGGGGGACCGCGGAGCAGATGGGGAGGGCGGAGCAGTAGGGGGAAGCGGGGCAGGGGGGGTGGGGGGAGCAGCAAGGCCGGAGCCGCACGCACCTGACAAACCAGCGAATGCCACGTTGCACTGCGCAGCGCCTGGGCCATGCCTGGCGAAGCCCCTGGCTCTGTCCGTCTTCTGTTTAAATCACATTCTTTTAGAGCCGCGCCAGAGACTGTACAAGCCCTGCACCTACATCGTTTGCTGGTACGACCCCCCCCTTCCCTCCCCCCCCCCCCCCCCGCCCCTTTTTTTCCTCTCTTCCTTTTCCCCTCATGCCCCTGTTTGAATCACATTCTGTTAGAGCCGCGCCAGAGGCTGTCCAAGCCCGCATTCCCGCATTACAGCACCTACATTGTCTGCTGGTACATTCCCGCACTCCCCTTTCTCCCACTCCCCTTTCTCCCACTCCCACTTCTCCCCCTCTCCCGCGCATACCCCCGCCGTCTTCTGTGCGAATCACACCCTGTAAGAGCCTTTCCTCCCACACCTGCTTACACCATCCCACATTTCCCCCCCTTCTCCTGAACTCCTCTTCCCCCCATGCCCCCGCCCTTTGCTGTTGCCCCAGGGGCTCCAATAGCGGGGCCCACCTGCCCTGCGGGCGCCCTGCCTTTTCCGCCTTCACCCCCGTCCTCTGCGCCCACCACCGCCACCTCATTCCGCCAGCTCAGCAGCCCTTCCTGCCACGTCACCGAGGGTATCTGGAACCCGTTATAGTGGAGGGGGGCGCGAGTGGGGGGAAGGGGGGCGGGGGGAAGGGCGGAAAAGGGGGGAGGAAGCGGAGGAAGAAGGGGAAGGGGGGTAGGAGAAGCATGGGCGATGGAGCAGGAGGGGGGGATGGGGCGGGGCTAGGGGGAGGGAATAAGCAGGTGGGTGTGCTTACACTGAGTGTAATTATAACAGAGATGGTTAGGACGATTCAGACCCAACGGAGGATGTTAGAGGAAGTGGAGGACGAGGGGAGAGAGGAGGGGAGGAGAGAGGTGAGGGAGGAGAATGGAGAGGTGCAGAGCGGTGGAAACGAGGAGGGGGTGAGAGGAGAAGGGGAGTCAAATGGAGTGAGAGAGGGGAGCGGAGGAGGAGGAGGTGGGAAGGGAAGGGCAGAAGGGGCGGCTTTAAGAGGTCTAAATGATGATTCAGCAGAGGAGGGGCGGCAGAAGTGGCTGAAAGAAATCGAATCTGGATATGATTTTGATGGTATGGATTGGATACAAGGTGAAGGCGGATGGATGGGAGGAGGGATGGGAGGAGGGGGAATTGCAGAAGCAGCTGTTGAGAGTTTTCAAAATACGCCTGCGTCACGGTCTGGTGTGGCTTATAACGGGTCTGCAGCAGGGTTTGGTGGTTCTAGTTCCCCTTACCCTCCTGTCCCACACCATTTGACCCATAGCAGCAGCAGCAGCAGGCGCAGCCCCATTTTCCGCTCAGGAGCTGCCGCTACAGCTGCTGTTCCTGTTGCTACTGCTACAGGTGTGACAGGCTCTGCTGCTACAGCTGCTGTTCGTGATGTAACAGGTGAAGGGCAAGCAGTGGGGAATTCCAGGCGTGCTGTAGCAGGAGGAACAGAAGAGGCAGGAGGGGTGGGAGAACCAGCAGCGGTAAAAACAACAGCAGCAGGAGCAGCAGCAGCAGCAGCAGGAGGAGCAGTAACAGCGGCAGGGGCAGCAGCAGCAGCAAGTGGGGGAGAGGATGGGGAGGGGCAGGTCAGGGCTCCCAAGGGTGAAGTGGGTGTGAAAAGGAAGAGAGATGAAAGTGCAGGCCCTGTTTTGGCTCCTGCTGCTGCTGCTGCTGCTGCTGCTGCTGCTGCATTGCATCGGGAAGGCATAAACATGGGATTTGAAGAAGGGACTGGGATGGGACTGGGGAGAAGTATGGATATGGGCATGGGTACGGGCATGGGTATGGGTATGGGAAGGGGTATGGATCCGAGCATTGGCTTTGGCATGAGCATGGGGGTGCATATGGGTGATGGGGGAACCGGCTATACCATGCAACAGCAAGGTCATGCCATGCAGGCAGGTGAGGGGCTATTTCCATGTACACAGCTACCCGAGGGAGGGCATTCTCAGAAGATGCTTTTTCGGGCTCAATCCCCTGCTGCTGCTGCTGCTGCTGCTGCTGCTGCTGCTGCTGCTGCTGCTGCTGCTGCTACTGCTGCTGCTGCTGCGGCTAATGCTGGTGCTGCTGCTGGCAGTGCTGCTGGTTCTGCTGCTGCTGGTGGTGCTGCTGCTGCTGGCAGTGCTGCTGGTGCTGCTGCTGCTGCTGCTGGTGCTGCTGCTGCTGCTGCTCCGGGGCCAGGTTTTAATAGGACTATGGTAGCAGCACCAAGAGGTTTTCTCCCATCGGCCCGCCCGCAATTTTCGGGCAGCACAGAAATGTCTTATGATGAGACGCTTGCAGGCGGTGGTTCGGAAGCGGATAGCCTGTTTTGTCCTGACATGCCTTGGCATCACAGCACTCACATGCCTGCCCATCATGCCACTCACATGCATGGGCATAATGCTAATGCCGCTGACATTCATGGATCTTTCTCTGGGAATGTGCATGGGAGACAGGTTCACGGTCAAGGCAGGCTTTCACGCTTGTCTGCAGCCTCTGCTGACGCTGCTGCTCCTTCTGATACCCATACTGGTCCCTCTGCTTATCAGCAGCGTCGTCACAACCAACACCAACAGCAGCAACAGCAGCATCCTTCTCCTCCTCCTCCTCCTCCCCTCCCTTCTTATCACCACCCTTCTCCCCCTCCCCCTCCTCATCATCACGACCCGTCTCCTCCTCCCGCTTCTCATCACCACCACCCTTCTCCCCCTCCTCGGTCCCATCACTCACCCACGCAGGACCTATCTCTATGCCACACTCGTTCCCCCACAGTCGACAGGTCAGCGGGTCCTCTTTTTGAGTTGGCTCAAAAGCATGCGCAATCAGGCACAGTGGACGGGTCAGCTGGTCCTGAGGAGAGTTTTGAGGGGGAGGGCTTTGCAGACTACTTCTGGCATCCAGGGGGGTTCATCGACGGCTCAGATGCAGCCGCGGCTGGCTTCTGGTTACCACCAGATGCTCCTCCTGCTATTCCTGATGCTCCTGTTCTTCCTGCCGCTCCTGCAATTCCCCCTGCTGCTCCCGCTCCTCCTCCTGCTCCTGCTATTCCTGCTGCTCCCGCTCCTCCTGCTCCTGCTGTTCCTGCTGCTCCTGCTGCTCCTGCTGCTCCTGCTTCTCCTGCTGTTCTTCTTGCTGCTTCTATTCCTGCTGCTGCCCCTGCTGTTCCTCCTGCTGCTTCTACTCCTGCTGCTTCTGCTACTCCTGCTCCTGCTCCTGCCCCTGCTTCTGCTTCTGCCTCTCCCTCTGCTCCTCCTCCTGCTCGTACCATTGCTGCTTCTGCTGGTGGTAGTGCTACCAGACCTTGCTCCGAGCCTGGTCTGGGCTCCGAGCCTGCCCAGGGACGTGGATCCGATCCTCTAGAAAACCCTGGTTTAGTTGCGCCATCCTCTGCTGCAGTCCCCCCTACAAATGATGCTTGCTCCTCAGTTCTCGCCACTACTGCTGCTGCTCCTCCTCCTTCTCTGGCGTCCCCTGCTCCTACAGCTTCAGCTTTGCCTGCGGGTGTTGCTACAGCTGCCGCTGCTACAGCAACTGTTACAGGTGCCGCTACAGCTGCTGCTACTGCTGCTGCTACAGCTACTGCTACAGGTGCTGCTGCAGGTGCTTCTACAGGTGCTGCTACAGCTACTGCTACAGCTGCTGCCACAGGTGCTGCTGCTGCTGCAACCACTCGCAATGCCGCTTCAGTCAAAGTGTCACCTCCTCCTGTGGCTGCTACAGATGCTGCTGGTGCCATGACAAGAGCTACAGACGTTGCACGTAACATTGGAGCAACAACAGGTGCGGTAGCAGGTGGTGCAGCAGTTGCTGCAACAAGTGCAGCAACGAGTGCAGCAGCGAGTGCCGTTTTACCGAAGGAGGGCAGCGAAAGGAGGGGAGGAACAACCTCAGCTGGAGGTATGACTGCTGGAGTAGAGTCCCGAACTACAGCTGCTACAGCAGCAGGGGTTGCACCAGCAGCATCAACAACAGGGGCAGCAGCAGGGGCTTCAGTAGCAGCAGCTGCACGTGTGGCAAGTCAAAAGGCGGCAGGGGGTCAGCTTCACTCCACAGCAGGAGTTTCACAGCCCCCATCAGTGCCTGTAACACGGTTACCACCTCAACCTGCGCCTTCTAGCCTTGCCTTTGGAAGGGTGAACAGTGTTGCCTCTGTCCGTGCTCCCATTGAAACGCCTGCTGCTGCTGCTACTGCTACTAGGGCTGCTGCTTCTGCTGCTGCTGCTGTTGTTCCTGCTGCTGCTGCTGCGGTTCCTGCTGCCACTGGTGCTGCTGCTGCCACTGGTGCTCCTGCTGCTACTGGTGCCGCTGCTGCCGCTCCAAAGTCTGCACTCTCTGCCGCTGCTGGTAGTGCTGCCCCTTCCCCTGTTGCTCCGCCTGCCGCCCCTCATGCTTCCACAATTGCTCCTGTCCCTGCTGAGGTCCCTGCTCCTGCTCCCGCATCTGTCACTGCTGCCACTGCTCCCGCTGCGCCCACTGCTCTCACTGCTCCCGCTGCGCCCACTGCTCCAGCTGCTCCCGCCGCTGCTGCAGTTACTGCTGCGACTACCACAAGAGCCCCTGCTCCCAAACTCTCTGCTCAAAAGCCCTCAGATCCCAACCCCCACGCTTCTGTCTCTGCACTCAGGGCACTCCCCCCAGCAAGCCCTCACAGCCTGCCTTATCCGCCCTATCTCCCTCCTGGGAGTCCCCTCATGCCATACGGCCCTCCACTACCCTCGGTTACCGTGGGTTACCCTCCTTCTGCTCCCACTGCCTCAGCTTCTCCTGCTGCTCCTGCTGGTGCTTCTGCTGCAACCAATGCTGCCGCCACTGCTGGTGTTGCTGGTACTGTTGCATCTGCTACTGCTCCTGCCACCACTGCACCTGCTGTGACGCCTGCAGGCTCCCCCTCAATTTCAGGAGCAGCTCGTATCCAATCAGGCCCTGCCACGTCACCTCCCACTAACAGCACTCCCGCTGCTGCATTGGGCGTTTCCTATTGGCCAGGTGCTTCCCCAGGTTACCCGCCCACCGCTCCCCACCCATCCCACCCATCAGCCTACCCACCATACCCCTACATGCCCCCTTACGGTTACTACCCGCCATACCCGCCGCCCCATATGGTTTCCCCGCAATACCCTTTCCATCCGCATTACCCACACATGATACCCCATGGTGGTACACCCTTGCAGCCGCCGTCTCATCTGCCTTATGATTCTTCTGCTGCTGCTGCGGCAGCAGTGGCAGCAGCGGCTGCTGGTGGTGGTGTTGCTAGTGGTGCCGGTGCTGCTGCTGGTGCTGGCGGTGCTGGTGTTTCTGGTGCCGGTGGCGCTGGTGCTGGTGGTGCTGCTGCTGGTCCTGCTGGTGGTGCCGCTGCTGGTGCTGGTGGTTTTGGCGCTAGTGGTATGATGCACGTTGCCCCCGGTTCCCCTCCCATGCATCCTAACGCATATCCCCATCATGCACATCATCACTTTCCCCCACCCATGCCTCCCGCGTATGGGTATTACCACGAGCATTGGCATCCGCATTATCCTCCTCCAATGCCCCATGTTGCTTCTCATCCCCATGCACGTCCACATGCGCATCCCCATGCACATCCCCATGCACATCCACTTGTACCAAGGGGAGGGGGAAGGCGTTGGTTCAGAGAGGGCAGTGAGAGCTTCTAGTCCGGCTGTGGGTGGTAATGAAGGAGGAAGAGGGGTGGACGGTGGTTCACATGGTATGCCACATACGAGCTGAGTTAGCTGGCAGTGAGAATATGTTAATAGTTTGGTAGCTTAGGTAGTCAGCTTGTGTTTATGGCTACAATAGGTCTTAGCTGTTTAAATTGTATGCGGAGCTGCTCATATTGAGGAACTCAGTTGGCCTCTGCTTGGTTCCCGAAAAGGGAGCACCATTCGGAGTTTCACGCTTTTGCCCGGCACTCTTGTGTCTGAACCGATGACATGGCATGAACCACGCTGATTCTGCGTCACTGAAACACGACGCGGGCCAGCTTCCCGTGTCGCCAAGTCAAGCTGTACCCACGTCATCAGTCCACAGCCACATTTGCTGATCTTGGCCTCGTCAGCTGGTCCCAGCACAAAAGTTGCCCGCCAAACTGGTTCTGCTCTCTTGAGATCATCTTCAGGCAGTCAAATTCGTCCCTGGAATCTGGATTCTGGTCTGCTCTGCTGGGCCCTCCAGTTTGGCTGGCGTCGACATTCATTTGGCTCAGTTTATAACCAGGAATTCGTTTTTGAGATTGCCATTTTATCAGGTAGTCAGCCATTCGCCTAGACATTGGACTTGCCTCCAAGTTTAGGAGAAACCAGTCTTTTACGTAAGGAGTATCGTTCTTCTTACGTACAAGTAGCGTCGATTAATCTGCGCTGCACGAGTGCCGTCAGCTCGAACTAGATTACCTAGCTCCCGTCACTATCTAGTGAGCTGCGTGTTCGGCAGAAATGGCTCAGCAGGTTGTCAGGCACTTAGGCCGTCACATCAGGAGAGCCTGCCAGACTAACGCTGTTCACCCCGTCGCCAGTCCGTGGACTGCCATTGCTCGCCGCGGCTATGCGGTGAGCAAAGTTTCAGCGCTTGGTTAATGAGCAATCCGTCCTCACTGCACTCGCTCTCAAGTCTTGTGACCCTTTTAGCGAATACTGCGACTTACTCTTGCCGTTATCTCCCTGCTTCAGGCTACCAATGACGAAGCCTATGCCTGGATTGAGAAGTCCAAGGGCCGCTCAGATGTCTCCGTAAGTATCATATTACCAGCATGGTCTTGATTGTTTGAGAGCAACATTTGATAACCAGTCGGCAACTTTTGGTAATTTTGAATTCTCGCGAATTTTTCATCATTCATTGGCCATCGTTGCTGTGTCGAACTCTGAAAGTATTCTGAGTTTGAATAAACGTCGCTGTTACCTGTTGTTGCTGTACGTGACATCGATGTTATTTTTCTCTCACCCAATTTCTCTTCGCTTGTCGCAGTGGCCCGCTGTGCTCAACACGCCTCTTAAAGACGTCGACCCCGAAATCTACGACATCATCGAGCACGAAAAGAACCGTCAATGGAAGGTCCGTCGTCCCTCGCACGTCCAGACCCCAACAGCCTAAGCTTTTCGGAACCGCTTTCTTTTCAAATCGCGACAAAATTCCACGTATTCGGATCGATTGATAGTTAAGGAAATGCTACGGTGCTTTCCTTCTGACGAAATCCTGCCTCTTTGCTGTTCGTCGGACAGGGCCTGGAATTGATTCCGTCGGAGAACTTCACGTCGCAGTCGGTGATGGAGGCCGTGGGGTCCGTCATGACCAACAAGTACAGCGAAGGCTATCCCGGCGCTCGCTACTATGGTGGCAACGAGTGAGTCTCCTCTTCACCCTCCAGTAGAAGCTTGAAGTGGGCTCGTGAGCCGACGCAGTCCATTAATCTCGAGAATTGCCCTGAAATACTGTATTTCCAGCTCTTCTTTCATCACATGCGTATAGCCCATCGGCTCACCTTCCCCCATCCCTGTTTCCCCGTCTGTTTTCCTTCTTTTTTCATTCCTCGCCTCGCAGATTCATCGACATGGCTGAGACTCTCTGCCAGAAGCGCGCTCTGGAGGCATTCCGGCTGGACCCGGCCAAGTGGGGAGGTAAGCTTTGATTCAACGCAGGCGAATTCCGTTCAATCTTGCATGGCGTTGTTGACGTGTCCTTGACAGGGCAGTTCCTCTCCGTTCCTGCCGTCTCTTTCGATTGCTCGCTCACTCAAAAGTGCTTCTCTTCCCTTTCTTCTTCTTCTGCGTCCACCAGTGAACGTGCAGTCGCTGTCCGGGTCGCCCGCCAACTTCCAGGTGTACACGGCGCTGCTGAAGCCGCACGAGCGCATCATGGCGCTGGACCTGCCGCACGGCGGCCACCTGTCGCACGGCTACCAGACGGACACCAAGAAGATCTCCGCCGTCTCCATCTACTTTGAAACCATGCCCTACCGCCTCGACGAGACCACCGGTCTCATTGACTACGACACGGTAAGCGCTGCCCGTTTGCTAGGCGTTTGAAGAGTAGGCGGTTAGCGGCAAGGCTTGCCTTCGTCCTGCAGTGCAGTGCGTCCGCGCGAGCTCGCTGCTTCTTTTCTCCTGTGAGGGCAGCCCGTCGTCCACTCGCCCGCTGCTTCGACTCATCTGCATTTGATTTTTCAGGCGATTGTGTTCCTCCCATAGTTGGTTTCCTTTGTAACTCATCATCCGTCTCCTCTGTGGCCTCGGATTCGTCTACTCGCCCTCGTGGCTGCCACCGCAGATGGAGAAGACCGCGAAGCTGTTCCGCCCGAAGCTTATTGTGGCGGGCGCCAGCGCGTACTCGCGCCACTACGACTACCCGCGCATGCGCAAGGTGAGTGAGAGTGGGTCCACTAAGATAGACACTCGCGCAAGGTGAGTGTGAAGACTTTGATTCGACTCAAAAAGCGCCAGCGCTTACTCGGGCCACGACGACTACCCGCGCATGCGCAAGATTAGAGCGAGGGCCGTGAAGATAAGGATATGAGAATCAAAGTTTCAACGAAGGAGGCAATCGTGCGTGAGAAAACAGGTGATAAGCTATTGTCGCGGAGTAGAAATTTTACCAATACCCTTCGTGCTGACCTCGCTGATCTTCCTCTCACTTCCCAATTTCCCGGATTCTGCTTTTCCAGGTCGCCGACCAGCAGCGCGCGATTCTCCTTGCTGACATGGCACACATCAGTGGCCTCGTGGCGGCAGGAGTGGTCCCATCGCCCTTCGACTATGCTGACGTGGTCACCACCACCACTCACAAGTCCCTCCGAGGGCCACGTGGCGCCATGATCTTCTACCGCAAGGGAGTCAAGGAGACTGACAAGAACGGCAAGGAGGTGAGCTTATAGCGAGTATAGACGTTGCGCATGGTAGAGATGATATGGGTGGAGGGGAGTTGGGAAGTTGAGCCGAGAAAAAAGACGGTGAGCAGAGGTTACATGTGGAGATGATATTCGAGTGGACTGAAACGAAGAAAGGTGCTTTCAAGCAGGCAGTAAGAAGAATGAAGTGGGTTGAGATCGATTGACTGAGACTAATCATGTATTGCAACAGGACAGGCGAAATCAAATACTCAGATCTGGTTTATGGGCACAGGAGAACATGCTTCCTGTTCACTTCCTCCCTGAATCCTCTGATTTTTTCACACTCGACGGTACCAACCTCCCGCTCCATTCCTGCACGATTTTAAAGGCAATACCAGTCGGTATTTCCGGGCGTCTAGGTCGGGTCTTGACTGTGTGTCCTGGATACACCCGTTTCAACCTCCTTTCTCGCACTACCCCCCGTTTGTGTCACTCACTCGTCACACAGATCATGTACGACTTTGAGGACAAGATCAACTTCGCTGTGTTCCCAGGCCATCAGGGCGGCCCCCACAACCACACCATCACCGGCCTCGCTGTTGCCCTCAAGCAGGTGCGCTCTTGTTGGTAGTGAATGCAAGCAGTGCAACCACTCGCTTGCTTACTGACTGCTTGGCCCCACGACAGCATGCCCCCACAACCACACTATCACTGGCCTCGCTGTTGCGCTCAAGCAGGTGCGCTCTTGTTGGTAGTGATTGCAAGGCATTACACCTGCAATGCAATGTTAGTCCACTTGTCCACCCTTATCGCCCCACAACCACACCATCACCGCCTCGCTGTCGCCCTCAAGCAGGTGCGTTCTCTGGTAGTGACCACGAGGCAGTGCAAGCACACAGCATAACATAACCAACCATCTCCAGTCTCACCACGGCCGTATGTTACATTCTCCCTGTGATTCACGATGTAGTGCAACCAGCAATCTTCGTGCCAGGGCAGGGCCAGGGCAGCACCTTGTACCTTTCCTCGCACAGTCACACCATCACTTAACTCGTGCAGCCCTTAACCATGACTCGTACTTCCACATGCTCCCCACATTAACTGGCAATGGTGCATGTGATCGGCGTGTGTCTAGTGGTGCCATTCCCACCCCTCGGGGTGTCTTTCACGGTTGTTCAAATGGTGCCATGTTCCTCCCTCTCCCCCGCCCCTTGCACGGCAACAGGCAGCTTCAGAGGAGTTCAAGCGGTACCAGCAGCAGGTCATGGCTAACAGTGCTCGCTTCGCCAAGGTACCCACCGCAGCAGCCTTGACTCTATTCCCCTGCACAGTTTTTTGCTTTTATTATCCCACCCTGTCGTAACGGCTCTGCCATAACGTCCCTACCACCCCCCTATCCGTGCCCCCATCCCTGCCCCCTCTGTCTTATTGGAAAACTAGCAATCACATGTGCACGTGCCCTCCTCACATCCCCTCACATGCACACACAAACACATAAGCAGCTGCATGAATTCAATCTATTTTTCAGGCGCCTCAAAAATCGCTCACACCCTCGCACCCCCTGGCGCGCACACTCCTCATTAGCAGGTACCCTGGTTCTAACTCTTGTTTCAACCCTTCCTCCCCTTGGCCTCCTCAGGCCCTGCAAGATCGTGGGTACGACCTTGTGTCAGGCGGCACGGACAACCACCTGGTGCTTGTGAACCTCAAGAGCAAGGTATGTCATAGAAAATACAGCTTGAAAGCTATATTTGAAGTACAGAAACCAATCCCTACTTTCCATGTTTTCCAATCTCAAACCCTACTTTCCCTCCCCATCCCTCCGCTGCCGCCACGTGTCCATCAGGGAGTGGACGGGTCGCGGGTGGAGAGGGTGATGGAGCTGGCTCACATTGCGGCCAATAAGAACACAGTGCCGGGGGATGTCTCCGCCATGGTGCCTGGTGGCGTGCGAATGGGTAAGTGCTGCACTTAATTAAGTATGGTGCACAAATCCTGAGGTGGAGGCCCCTGGCCCCAACCCAAATCTCTGCTCGTCATGAAACGTCTACCCTCAACTCACGGGGATATGAGGACGAGGAATCTGAGTGTTAATCTACTTTTCAATCCAATGCTGCTAAGTATCTCTCGTCCATGCCATTCCATGCCCTTCTCTCCCTTACAGGCACACCTGCGCTCACCTCACGAGGATTCACAGAGGAGGACTTTGAAAAGGTGGCTGATTTCTTCGACCAGGCTGTCAAGATCGCTGTGGATGCCAAGGCCCTCTCAGGTACATGCCATGCGGTGCCATGCCCACCATGCCATGCCATGCCCCCACCATGCCATGCCATGGCACCCCGTGCTGTGTCTGGGGTTTGCGTCAGACGCAGCTCCATCATGCAGCAATTTGATCACACGTGCTATCTGTTTCTTAGGTCAAGTTCCTGATACACTCGCTGAATGTGACCCTGACATTACCCTTTTGAATCTTCGCTATTCACAGGACCTAAGCTGAAGGATTTCCGCACCACCGTGGACACAAACGACAAGATCAAGGCGGCGATTGCAGGGTTGAAGCACAATGTAGAGGAGTTCGCCAAGCAGTTCCCCACGATTGGCTTTGAGAAGGGTACCATGCGGTACACCTCATAGCCGTCTCCTCTTTAAATGGGGGGTTTTGCCGGTTCCCCCATCTTTTCGTTTCCTCCCATTGTTTTCAGTACATGGTGACACCTTGTTACATTTGTTTGTCTAATATATCTTCTATGTAGTCAACCCGACCACCGTATCTGGTTCAAAGCAAGCTTTGTGGAAACAGCTTCAGCTGAGAAAGAAATGGTTACAAAGAGACCATACAGCAGTCTGTCCTACTCTGTGTAATAAAAGCACACAAAAACAGAGCATTGATGGAATGCAGGCGCAAGACCATGATAATCGCCCTTATGGGTTCAACGGTGCTGTGCTTCCAATACTGCTTCCACAGCTGCTGCTGCCCTGGCTGCTGCTGTGCATAGAGCTGCTGCCCATACCACCTCCCATCCCATAATTCACACCAAGACCCTGAAAATTGACATGTGCTCTGGGACTCACATGCTGGTAAGCACCACCGCCGCTGGCACTGCTTCCACTGGTACCGCTGCCCTGATGAATCTGAATACCTGTGCTGTAGGCCCCAATACGTGAACATTCCTCACCAGAAGGTGCTGCTACTGTAGATGCAGCACCGTCAGAAGATGGTGCTGTTGCTGATAATGAAGTGAGCTGATATGGGGAATGGTGAGGCATGGTGGGTGTGGGAGCAAGGGAGTGAAGAATGGCCTCCAGGCGCGAGCACACAGATCCCATACCAGGCCTGCGGTAACCAATCGGGTCCGTGCACGACACTGCCACGTCAGCAAACTCAACCAGCTGAGCTGGCAGAACAGGCAGCTGACGTGGCATGCGGGGATCGAGAATGTCTGCCAGGTGGCCGTGGGAGAGCATGCGGCGAGCCCAGTCAGCAAGAGTGGTAACACCGAAGGAATGGTTACTGGAGGCAACCAAAGAAGGATCTTCAAGAAGGATTTTCATGGAAGCTGCTTCTGCATGTGCTTCCACCGGGATTTGAGAGATTTGATCCTCAGCGGATACGATCTCCGAGGCTGCCTGGCTTGATTCATGAGGCCAGGCGATATTCGGAGCTGCAGAGCTGTTGCTGCAGGGGAGTGTGGTTACAGCAGCAGAGCTTGTTCTGCATGAAGGTGGGGCAGTGGTATTGGCAGCAGTTGTTGCTGAATGGTCCTCTCTTGAAGGTAAGCCGGGTGGCTCGGCATCAGTGCGCGGGTTCGCAGGGCCCTGGGTACTGATTTCCTGGCTACACTGCTCTGTGGTGTCATGTTCTGCTTTTGCTGCTTCTCGTTCCACTGCTGCTTCAACCGCTGCAGAGTCTACTGCTGCTGGTGCCTTTGCTGCCGATATTGCTCCTGATGTTGCTGCTGATGGTCCTGCTTCGGCGGCTGCTGCTGCTAATGCCCCTACAGAAGCGTGAGCTGGCTGTGGCACAGCAGCAACGGCGGGGGGTGAAATGTAGAGCAAGGGGCGCTGACCCGTGAGCAGCTCTAGGAGAACCACTCCGAAGCTGGTGGTGCGGGGAGGGAATTGGGAAGGGGAGAGTGAAGCGCATGAGAGGGCGTAGCAAGAGGCACTAAAGGTGCCTCGAGGGTGGTGGATGGGTGGTGAATAACTCAGGATCCGAATACCCCTTCGTACCGCACAGAACTGTTAAGGCATGAGAGCAGGGGCAGCTGACCTGTACACATCTGTCTTGGTAGAGGTGCGGTGCGTGGTTATGAACCAACGGTCCAGGTAGCCTCTTGTCGGGACAAGCAAGCAAGTAGCCTACACATGACAAGCGGGGTGGTTGATGCCTACAAACGAGGCGAGGTGCCAGCTGCCCTGTACACGTCTGTCTTGGTGGAGGCGCGGTGCGTGGTTATGAACTCAGGGTCCAGATAGCCCCTGGTGGCTGATAGAGATAGGTCTAGACTAGGCAGGGAAGCAGAGGCAGCTCATTCTGGCACACAGAGTGAGGCAGCTCACCCCTACATGCGAGGAAACGGGTCACTAACCTGTAAACGTCTGTCTTGGTGGAGGCGCGGTGTGTGGTGATGAACTCAGGGTCCAGATAGCCCTTTGTCGTGACCTCCAGAGGCACAACAATCAATCAATCTACACACTAGACAGGGACAGAGAGGAGGAGCTGACCTGTAAACGTCTGTCTTGGTGGAGGCGCGGTGTGTGGTGATGAACTCAGGGTCCAGATAGCCCTTTGTCGTGACCTCCAGAGGCACAACAATCAATCAATCTACACACTAGACAGGGACAGAGAGGAGGAGCTGACCTGTACACATCTGTCTTGGTGGAGGCGCGGTGTGTGGTGATGAACTCAGGGTCCAGATAGCCCCTCGTGCCTGACAACCCGTGTGTGAAGAAACTCGCTTCCCCTCCTTCCAGCATGCGGGAGAGGCCAAAGTCAGACAGCTTGGGCTGATTGGGTAAAGAAGGGACGAAGGGAGCAGGGGGGTCGTACACCCAGGCATCATCACTCCAGATAGCCCCTCGTGCCTGACAGCCCATGGGTAAAGAAGCTCGCTTCCCCTCCTTCCACCATGCGGGAGAGGCCGGAAATCAGACAGATTGGGCTGATGGGCGGTAGGGGGTAAAAGGGACAGGGGGACACGGGGGGGTTGGAGTCAGGGAGGCCTCGCGTGCCTGACAGCCCATGGGCGAAGAAACTCGCTTCCCCTCCTTCCAGCATGCGGGGAAGGCCAAAGTCAGACAGCTTGGGCTGATGGGAGGGAGGGGACAAGGCAGGAGTGGGCAGGGGGTCAAGGGGACAAGAGGGGAAGCGGGCATGTGGGGAAAGGGCAGGGGGGCAGGGGGCGAAAGCGGGCGGCAATCTCTGCACAAGATTGCCGCCTATAGATTACCGTGCAATACTTGCAGCTCCGCAGTGTCTAGTGTCTCATCTGCAGCTTTGCGGTGAGGAGTATGGCGAGCAGCGACATGAGATCTCGGTGAAGCATGCTCTGAGACATCTGCAGATTACTGCTCTGTTGACTTTTGAGTCGACTCAAAAGTCAGTCGTATGCTGAGCAGCGACATGCCATCTCGGTGAAGCATGCTCTGAGACATCTGCAAACTATGCATCTGCTCTGCAGCGTCTCACCTGCAGATCGGCAGTGAGAAGTATGTTGAGGGACTTGACGTCTCTGTGAAGCATGCGGTCCCGTGCCTGCGAACGAGGAGAGGAACAGAGCATAGGGAAATGAGTCGACTTAAATGGACTCAACAGCAGGCTGACCTGTTTGTGTATGTAGAGCAGTGTACGGGAACGGCAACACCAAGGTGATATTGGGTCGAGTCAAAGGAAACAAGGTAAGCTAACATGCTCAGTCAACACAAGCTGACCTGTTTGTGTATGTAGTGCAGTGCGCGTGCAACACCGAGGTTATTTTGAGTGGAATCAAAGGGGAAAAAGGCAAGCTAACATGCTCGCTCAACACAAGCTGACCTGCTCGTGTATGTAGTGCAGTGCGCGTGCAACGCCCAGGGCTATGTGCACACGCTGGAGAAAGGAAAGTGGGGGCCGGGAGAGGTCTGTGTGGGCGGGGATGAGGAAGAGGGGGATGTGGGATTGGAAGGGGAGGGATGGAATGAAGAGGAGTGTGGCTCTGAAGAGGAGTGTGGCTCTGAAGAGGAGTGTGGCTCTGAAGAGGAGTGTGGCTCTGAAGAGGAGTGTGGCTCTGAAGAGGAGTGTGGCTCTGAAGAGGAGTGTGGCTCTTGGATTCCCCTCTTCAGACCCCGGGGAGACCAAGTGAGGCTGCTCACTCGCTCACACCCACATACCAATCTCAAATCACGTTTTGGGACGTCTCAAAACTTGAACAGAATCTGGTGCTTCAGGCCCTTGGAGATCCAGTGGGGGGCTGCACACTCGCACACACCCACACGTAACAATCACACATCACAGCAATCACACTGCCATACTCATTGCACGCACTTCCTTCACCTCTGAGCCAGCACATACTGTGCAGAGCCTCATAGAGGTTGCCGTTGGGCACAAACCCGTACACCAGCAGCTGCTCCCCTTGCTCTGCACACCAGCCTTTGATGCACTTCCATCCCCATCACACACGCACTTCCTCTCCCACACACTTCCTGCACTTTTAAGCCAGTACGCACCGTGCAGAGCCTCATAGAGGTTGCCGTTGGGCACAAACTCGTACACTAACAGCTGCTCGCCTTGCTCTGCGCACCACCCGATGAGCGACACCAGACTGCGGTGGTTCAAGCGCCAGATGGTCCGCACCTGGTGGTGGGGGGAACCGCATTGAACCGCACATGAGACATTGGAAACGAGCTCGTACACCAGCAGCTGCTCCCCTTGCTCTGCGCACCACCCGATGAGCGACACCAGACTGCGGTGGTTCAAGCGCCAGATGGTCCGCACCTGATGGACGGGCGGAACCGCATGGACTTATTTGAAATGGCATGGAGCCGCATTTGAAACAGTACCACGTCCACAGAAACTGCTTTGCTGCGATCAGATCTTTTCTGGAAGCTAGTCACGAGACCAAGAGTGAGATGATACTTAACATTGAGACACAGTGACGTGAGTATACCAAACCCACTAGCTCACCTCTCGCTCGAACGCCCCTCCTGGTCCCATGCTCCCTCTCTTCGCCCTCTTCACCGCCCACAACTCCTCATTCCGCACCCCGCCTCCTTCCACCCCCTTCCCAGAAGCTGTTGTGTTCCTTCCTCTCCTGCTTCCTGACATGGCGCCTAGTAGATCAGCAACAGGAATAGCAAGTGCACGGTAGACTGTCCCAAACGCCCCCTCTCCTATTTTATTGTCCACAGAGAACCCATCCGTTGCCCTGTGTAGCTGAGAAAAGGTGAAGCGGCGAGGAGCATCGGGGGGAGAAGAGGCCAGGGTCAGTGAGAGCTTGCTGCGGTTAGCGTGATTGCTGTGCTGCTGAAAAGCAGACTCCGGGTCGGCATGAACCGTTTCTCGCCCATTGCCACCAGTGCTGACTCGGCTTCTGCCACGGCCGTCCTCTTTCTCTTGTGTTTGATCCTCCCTGTCTATCCTCCTCCTCGTGCTTCCTCCTCTCCCTCTGCTTCTGCTGATACCGCAGGCAGAGGAACACGGCTAGAAGCAGGAAGAGAGAAGAGAAGACGCTGCCGACAACCACAATGGCTAATACACCCACTGACACTGCACCAACGCTACTGGTACTGCTGCTGCTGCCACTGCTGTCACTGTCACTGCTCCTGCTGCTGCCACTGCCATCGCTACTGCTGCTGCTGCTGGCCTCGCTCCTGCTGCCATTGCTGCTACCAGTGCTTAAATCGCCACCGTTTGTAGCGTTGATACTACCTGTAACACTATCGCCACCTGTAACATTGCCGCTAGCACTGAAATCGCTGCTGCTGTTACTGCCAGGGTCACTCACACTGCTGCTGCCACTGCTACTGCCGCTGCTGCTGCCACTGCTGCTGCCGCTGCTGCCACTGCTGCTGCCGCTGCTGCTACTGCTGGTACCGTTAACCATACCGCTGCTGCTCTCACTGCCACTAGAACCAGCCCCTATTCCTCCACTACTGCTGCTGTTTCTCCGGTTCCGAAGGTCTGCCACTCTGCTGCGAACATAGTCACGTGGGAAGCAGGGGCCTGAGATGCACCCTGAACCACACATAATGGGAGCGATGTCGCAGGCAGCAGCGGTGCAGCACACAGGGGGTTGTAACCGAGGCCCCCTAGGGTTACCACCACCACCAGTGGTACTACCATCAGCAGTGGCACCATCGACAGTGTTACCAGTACCAGCAGCACTGTTACCAGTGGCGCTATTACTGGTAACCATGTTACCAGCGGTTTCGCAGGGGCCGGAGAGGCAGTCAGTGAGGCAGGCGGAGCCGAGGCCACAGCCGAAGGAGGAGGAGCAGCAGAGGTAGGGCGGACAGGCCTGGGCGGCACAGTGGCGCAGCTGAAGCAGAGAGCGGGAGGAGTGGTGGAGGAGGGGGATGCTGGATGCATCACTACTACCAGTAGCACCAGTAGAGGAAGCTTGAATCAGGGAGGAGGTGATCGGGCCGTTCTCAGAATTCTCAGAAATCTCATGGGAGGAGGAAAGCACGGAAAGGGCTCCTAGAACGCAGCAGGTTAGAACAGGCAGGTGAAGTATGAATGACGTCATTGGCCTCATTTGACTCTCGTTTGACCCTTTTCAGTGTAATAAACTGCAGGTAGCGCATCCCAAGTCAAGCAGAACGAGGAGTTTGGGAGGACGACTCCAGTGTGGTGGGTCTTTGAATCTCAGCAGCAGGGACTTATGTTGCGAAGGAGAAGAATGAAAAGTTGAGCACCTAGAATCAGGCATGCTAAGCTCAAAAAAGTGTTTATGGATTTGCCTAGAGAGCAATTTCGTACATTCAACAATCTTGCCGCACGGCTAGTCGCGGCTCAAGAGGAAGGAAGGCAATGGCTGACGCGTTCCTTCGACTGGATACGGTTCAGCAAGACTGAACCACGACGGCGTTCCTTCCTTCTCACTGTTTGCAGTCCTGCGACAGTAACAAGCGAGCGACGGCTCGATTTCCAGCTCGCATGAATCGCACGGGTCGCACAGTGACAGCGAGTAATGAGCATGTGTCGTTCAGTAGACATGACACGTCACATGGCGTCACTCTTGACGGAATTTTCGAGGAGAAATCCGCGTAGCCGTCAGGTGGGAAAGTCAAGTGATGCCGGTAACGGCGTCTTCGCACACTTGTCTTCGCCATGATTGGTTCGTTGGGGTATCAGTAGTATTGGATGAGGCTGTACAGGCATGACAGGCATCACAGCCGTGACAGCCATGACAGACATCAATGAATCCAGCCTGGCAAAGTGAATTCCGAGGCGTAAGGAACCGACGATCGTTTTGATGGAACAGGTAGTGCCCTATCTCTTTCCACCTGCTGCTGCAGCAGAGACCCTTTCGTAATCGTCACTAACGGATACCTGACAGACGGACCAGATTCACCTGTTCCTGTATGGACGGATGATAAAGATGCACAAATGGGATGCGAAATCCACACTGTGACAACAAATCACGCATGCCAATCTGGAACCTGGGCTGGGGGTGGGGTGGAGGCGGAGTTCCCGAGGCTGCAGCGTGGGGGAGTTCTCGAGGTGGAATTCAGCGAATTTTCGAGGTGCAGTGTTGCCAGGTTCAGACCCACAGATTCACGGCATCCTCAACAAGACGAACGGTCCTCGTTACCATGCTGGTCGAAAGGCAGAGGAAGCGTCACGAGGACAAATCTCAAGCTCCGAGCTCGCCTGAATTCGTGTTTTCGCTGTCTATTTCGCATACAGATGAAACTTATGCTTCGGTAGCGAATCTCTCGCGGCAATCTACAAGCGTCTGTCGACAGCTTATCTCCTTTCGCATTATTGGCCATGTTCACCCACCAATTCTCTATTGCACATGTTTACTGTGTGGAAACATGGTAACCGCCGTCTACCGTGTGAAAAGAGTAGTGAACCGCATTGAACGACCCGTGGTCGCCAATTTCGCTTTTGTTCTTCGAGTTTCCCACTCCGATTCTGTTCCACCCATTCTGCTCTACTTCAATCAGTCACGGTGACCCTCCTTGCTTTCACAAGCAAGCGACGTGTTCGTGAATTTAGGAGCTGGATTCGCTCTTCTCCTTACTCGCCTCCACGGATAGGCCCGCATTTCTCTCCCCGCATAGTCATCGCATTTATGCCATATAGCCACCTACAAATGACGTCGCTACGGCAAGCCGCGCAGTGACTGAAAAATCAGCTCGAGCTCGCTTCGGTTTTGAGCGGATACCGCCGCTCTTTCCGTAGGCCGTCAAGGAGAAGCTTTTTGTGGATTCACGCCAATTAGGGTTGTTGTAAGGCTATCTCCGGGAATAAGTAAAAGTTACTCAGTCTATTAAGAAAGTCGATGCGCTGGCTCCGAAAGCGAGGTCCCGCTCTGGGAAGGGTCGGGGAAGGGTCGAAAGAGTCCCTTCCCTTGTCATGGACGTGTACGTCAAGCTCCTCCGACGACCGTCGATTCGGTCCTTTCGGCTGGCTCTCAGCCGTGCGATGCAGTGGGGAGGATCCAAGGACGGGCAAACCTTGTTCCGTTACATTCTGTTGACTGTGTTAGGGGTGATACTACTGAGATGGTGCTTTGGATGGCTGGCTCCGTTCCTACATTATAACGTCTACTATAAGTCCGTCTCCATCAGAAACGTGAACAGGACTTTCATGACTGACACGTGTCAGAACCTCATGAAGTTGCCGTTTCGGCCGTCCAATCCAGAATGGGGTAGGTTACTCACCCTCTTAAAACTCCACTCGCAGTATTTACCTTGAGAATTTGCATCACTTGCTGGCCACCGCTTTTTCTCATGCCACTGCTTTTCCCCGTGTATGCTGTCTCTTTTGGAACACTCAGACCCAGTTTCTACCTTGTCCCTTCCTGCCCTCCCTTCCCAACCTCCTTCGCTCACCCCCGCTCACCGCATCATCTACAACCCCCGCGCGCTTTCCCCCAGTGCCCCCTCTGCTCTGCTCAGTGCCCGCCCCTCCCTGTCCCCCAATACCTCCCCATCTACCACCACCACTACCACTCTCCATGTTTCCCCCCAACCACCAAACCAACACCAGGGCGATTCACCCCCCACGGCTTGAGCACTTTCGTCTTTATCTCAGCCCACCGCATCAGCCAGTTCAATTTCGCCGTCATCTCCCAACACTACCACTGTCCCATCCTTCTCCCCCAACAACCAAACCAACACCAGGGCGATTCACCCCCCACGGCGTCAACACCTTTGTCTTCATCTCAGCACACCGCGTCAGCCCTCTCGACTTCGCCGTCATCGGCCTCTCACCCCGCTCCATGCGCTCTTGATGCCCCCCTGCCCTTCCATTGCCCCCGCTGCCCTCCCACAAAAACTCAACCCACTGCCAGGTCGATTCACCCCTCACGGAGTCGACACCTTTGTCTTCATCTCAGCAGACCGCGTCAGCCCTCTCGATTTCGCCGTCATCGGCCTCTCACCCCGCTCCATGCGCTCTTGATGCCCCCCTGCCCTTCCAATGCCCCCGCTGCCCTCCCACAAAACCTCAACCCACTGCCAGGTCGGTTCACCCCTCACGGAGTCAACACGTTTGTCTTCATCTCAGCCCACCGCGTCAGCCCTCTCGACTTCGCAGTCATCGGCCTTTCCGCCCGCGGCATGCGCTCCCAGTGGCACTCACCCCAATCCAACGGCCCACGTTCGTCCTCGGAGCAGGGAGGGGAGGAGGAAGTGAGCGGGGGGTGCGTGTGGGTGTCGTATGAGGGGCCGCACACCATCAAGGGCAGCTTGGAGTATCTGTTTCCGGGCGACCATGGGGGCATGCCCTATGAGACCATCGTCATTCGCTGCAATCTAGACAAGCGCACCCCAGCCGACCCTGGTGAGCAGCTGTGCTGTTTCCTTCGGTATGGGAGCACACGCTGTGGCCTGTATTGTGTGTGTGCACGTCAGTGGTTTGGTCTGGGCTAGAATGGAACATGCCACATGGTGGGATGTGATGTGGGCGGAGGGTGCGTGTGGGTGTCGTATGAGGGGCCACACACCATCAAGGGCAGCTTGGAGTATCTGTTTCCAGGCGACCATGGGGGCATGCCGTATGAGACCATCGTCATCCGCTGCAACCTCGATAAGCGCACCCCAGCCGACCCTGGTGAGTGGATGAAACATGGTAGCACACATGCACACATGGCGCATCTGTGCTTTCGGAGTCGGCTCAAAAGTATGGTATGGGCGCAAGGGGTTTGGTAGTCGTAGATTGAATCGGCTGCCCCACCCGCCCCTTCAATTCCCGTCCCCCCACCCGCAGGTGGTGCTCTGTTCTACCACATCTCAGGGAGGGATATGCTCGTGTACCGGGAGGAGGACCTCAGACCCGCTCCCTCTGCTTCTACTGCCGCCGCTGCTGCTGCTGTGGGGGAGGCGGAGGAGGAGAGGGCTGCTGCTGCCAAGCGGATTCTCAACCCGCCGCGGCCGTTGCCACACCACATCTCCTTCTGCTCGTTGCTCATTGACCGCGAGGTGAGCGCTCATGGCGACCATTGAGGCACCTCTTTAAGTCAACTCAAAAGGATTTTCAACGTGCCTTGGAAAACGCTGCTGCACCGCACCTCCTTCTGCTCGCTGCTCATTGACCGCGAGGTGAGGGCTTTGCTGCTGAAGTGAATGGTTTTGAGGAGGTGGGTGCTGTGCTGCTTAGATGAGCTCTCTCTCCCTCTCTTGCTCTCAACACTCGCCCTCTCTGTCGTCCTCATGCCCATGCTAACCTTCAGACAGCACACTGATTTGAGACGTCTCAAAACACTCCTCTTTTTGAGACGTCTCAAAACATCTGTCGTCCGCATGCCCCTGCTAACCTTCAGACAGCACACTCCAGCGCGAGTTCTCGAGCACATGCAGTACCTGCTGTTCTTTGGAGCAGACGATTTTGTCTTCAAAACTCCATCTCTCGCTCCCTCTCTGGCGCTCGACCCTCACCCTGTAATTCACTTGCCCCCACCCCCCTCTCAGTACACTCCAGCGCGAGTGCTAGAGCACATGCAGTACCGGCTGTTCTTTGGAGCTAAGCACTTGGTTCCTCGTGCTTCAACGCTTATTCTCTCCTCCTGCTGTCCCTCCTTCCCTCACACCGCTCTCCCTCACAGCACACCCCAGCGCGAGTGCTAGAGCACATGCAGTACCTGCTGTTCTTTGGAGCAGATGACTTTATCTTCTACGCACTCACTTTCTGTCGTCTGCTCACCCGTCGTCTTCTCCCCCCCCACCCCTCACACAGAACAGCCCAGCGCGAGTGCTAGAGCACATGCAGTACGGGCTGTGCTTTGGGGCAGGCGATTTCATCTTCTCCACGCCCATCCTCTACCGCTCCCCCCTCCCACCCACTACCCCCCTCACAGCACACCCCAGCGCGAGTGCTAGAGCACATGCAGTACCTGCTCTTCTTTGGAGCTGATGACTTTATTTTCTATGACGGTGGGGGGTTCTCGGATCGCCTACGGGATGCTGTGTCGAGGTTTACAGAAGCAGACATGCTGCAGGTGGTGGACTTGCGAGGACTTGCTGAGTAAGTCTGTTGACTCCGGTTGACCTTGCTTGACTCGGGCTGACTTGGGTTGACTTCGGG